ACAGACAGACAGACAAACAGACAGATAGACAGACAGGCAGAGAGAGAGAGAGAGAGAGAGAGAGAGAGAGAGAGAGAGAGAGAGAGAAACAGACAGATAGACAGACAGACAGACAGTCAAACAGACAGACAGACAATCAGTCAGACAGACAGACAGACAGACAGAGACAGCGACAGAAAGAGAGAGAGAGAGAGAGAGAGAGAGAGAGAGAGAGAGAGAGAGAGAGAGAGAGAGAGAGAGAAACAGAGAAATAAAGACAGACAGAAAGAGAAAGCGAGAGAAACGCGCCTAGTATGTATATAGCTAGAGATAAGCGAGATAGGCTGGTTCATATTTCAGGAAAAGAAAGTTCAGTAGGCATTTTTGAGGAAAAAGGGCCAAATAACTTTTTCTAGAGTGGTTTTTCATGCTGAATACGAATAATTTGTTTGGACATCTCTATTTATCCCAGACTAAGAAGGGGACAGTTTGTAACGATGCACGCACGTCTGACATGGTCACGAACGCGTGAAAGCGTCGGTGCAGGGAGATTTCTCGCAGACGCGTGTATTATACGTGCTGTTGACCGTCGGTGATTAGTCGGGCCGACATGATTAGGTAAACAGATTTGGCGAGAGTGCCGAGGTAACTACGGCTTCGGCGGCAATAGCAATCTCGCATTTTCCAAAGGCGGTGAGATTTAACTTCTCGCAACTCGTCGGCGAACCTTTCAGCCACGCGCTCACACACACGTACGGTCCCACACACACACGTACAGTCACACACACACACGCACAAACACACACACACACACACACGTACACACACACACACACACACACACACACACACACACAACACACACATTCTGAAGGAATCCCCATAAAATCTGTGGCTGCTCATAAAGGGCTATCGATGAGAAGATGTCGCCGATAATGACAGCATAGAAATGCGGCGTGCTGGCTGTTACTTGTAGAGAGAGAGAGAGAGGGATGGGGAGAGTGAGGGAGGAGGAGGAGGAGGAGGAGGAGGAGGAGAGCGAGAGAGAAAGAT